CACAGAAGTCCCTGGTCAAATGGGACTGGATGTGCAACTTTACAGGTGACGTGCTACAAAGAGCCATGGTGGGAGGGTCTATATTTCTTTTAAATGCTTTTATCCAGCTTTTCCCTTAAATAAGACCCAAATTAGTTAACGTGCAAAAGACCCATGCAAAACCAGCATTCCAGTATCTTATCTCAGCCTTGGTACACAACTTGAGACTTGTGCCATAGGAGACCTGCGGATGAGAGACCAAGAGAACACCTCTCAGCTTGGCCTCTTCGGGGCTCACCACTTGTGAGTAAAACAAAGATGACATTCAAATCACAGATGCCTCCCCGCCCGCCCATCTTGCCACATGCTCTGTCCCTGGCTATTATCTGTGTCGCAGAATCAGGCTCTGCACACAGACGCTGGACATTCAAATCACAGATGCCTCCCCGCCCACCCATCTTGCCACATGCTCTGTCCTTGGCTATTATCTGTGTCGAAGAATCAGGCTCTGCACACAGACGCTACATGACATGTCACTAAAAGCAACAAGAACACTTCATCTTTCTAACCGGAGGAAGTTCCCTCATCGAAGCAACATACAATTTCCGGCTAATAAGGAGGTGCTGATTAACAACAGCTTATCTCACCAAGATGCCTCACAGCACAGTCAATACTAAAGAGATAAATTATTAATTGTTCCAAGTAATTAAATTTATCAAATCCAAATAAATATTACTGGTATTTTATGTAACTGCTTTCAAGGCTTGGCCTCTAAAGGGACAGTATTGATCAAGTGCAGAAAGACAGATGCTTCCCCCGTTAGCAGCTGATGAGTTCTGGCTTTGCATTAATGTCAGGGAGAAGGTGCACGGTCAAGGGCCTCTGGTGAAGTGTAAGCAGGCGGCACAAGCAACTGTTTCATAACAGAACAAATTCAAGACTAAGAACATACATTTAATATATATGCATACCTAAGTCAACCCCCTCCCTCATGCCAAGCTTTGGCCAAAAGACTCGTTTATCTTGAATGCATAGCACAATCCGAGTCCCTACGCCATCGCTGCGCTGCGCTGCAAGAAAGCGATCACCTCAGTGGATTGTACCTCATTAATCAGTGCTAAAAAAGTGCTCAGTTGGCTAGTAAATATTTAAAAGCCAGTAAGGGTGGATGTTGTGAATCAATGGGAATGAAAGCTCCCTCTCCCCCCATTTCTTTTTAATTGGTCTGACCACCAATTTGTCTACAAGATCCTAGTTAGCAGGTAACAAGTAAAACTGCCAGCTGGAAGCCTTTCTTGGTAGAAGGTGCCCAGCTGTGAATGAAACAATTGCGCCACAGCATCCCCCAGCGCGCTCCGTGGCTCTGAGGTTGCTAAGAACTTGCTTTCATCCTAGTGTTTTTGCCTCATTATCAAAGTCCTAGCAGTCTGGAGTCCAGACTTCTTGCTTCATCTCAGAGCGACAGCCTCAGATCAGATCTCCACCTATACTTCAATGATATTCTCCTTCACAACAGGAACCAGGTAGCAATATAACACATCTACAACATTCCCTAACAAAACCTGCATTAGCCCAGAGATGATATGTTAAATATAATGGTAACCTGAACATAAAAGTTCATGAGAACTGCTTTCAGTTAAAACTAGCAGGGTGTTGGAGCACTATTAAAATTATTTTTTTTTAAAGTGTTGATTTCCCCCCCCCCCCAAATTCAGTGAAGCTGGCACACAAGATATTGGAGTCCTACAAAACCATACCTTTTTCAAGAAGGCTACTACATTCCATACTTTCCAAGAGGAACAAAGTCAGGATACCAAAAGGGAAGCTTGCAGCCTTACACAAAACTCAAGAAGGAGCCATGCTTAGGTCCCTAGCCTCCAAAGATAGCCATTTGTTTCCAGTAAAAAATTCCTTCACAGAAGTTTCTAACTATTGTTCATTGCTGAAACTTACTGTCCATTGCAAATAAAAACTAATGACTATTTCTCCATTCAAATTTCCAGCACATGGCTACTGTGGACGTTCGAGAAGCCAGCATTATTTCATTAAGGAAGTTATCGGGGCCCACAAAAAACATTGTTAGGGCATTTCCATAGAGAGAGTCTGGGAATTACAAGCACACTGAATATGATACCTTTGGCCCATACAAGTAATGTGCCGATCTTCATACTAGTGGTATGTTAACACTGATTACAAAGCACGTCTTTAAAAGATAAACTGCATTTTGTATTAAATTAACTGTTGTATGTGTATTCGTATGCCAATAACGGCTTGTCAAATGTAAATTAAATTAACTGATCTGTAGGAATAAAAGTAGGAAAATATAGGTTGTTTGATATATTCAAGCAAGCATTCCACCTTACTGTTGAGCAGAAAGCATCATATTCATCTTAGATATGAGGCTGCTCTGGCTTCACCACTAAAACTGACTACAAGAGAGAATCTGAATAAGCTGTTTAGAAAGAGGAGTTAAAACAGGCAGTCAACAAATCCTCTCCTGAACTGCATGCCAGCTCCACACATTGTCAGTCAGAAACAGAGCTGGGGACGGGGAAGATGGGCTGGCACAAAGGGCAGCATACTGGCAAAAACAGAACCTTCGTTTAGGTAGCATTCTCAGATCCCAGCCAACATTTAGATTACAGTCACCTGGAAACGCTCTTGAAACACACCACACAAATGCTGATCAAGCTTTCCAGCTTTGCAAGTTCCAGCAGTGCATATAAGACTACAAAACTTATTTTATAGACTCTGTTAACAACTATTGGCTATGGCCAGGAACCTTCCACAACCAGAACATTTCTTTGTTATCAGCTGTGACCACCATTTTAATATTTATGATGATGGTTAAAGTTTTAATTTTGTTGTATTAACTAATATATTGTGTATAAACGAAATGTTGTTACCTGCCCTGAGCCTGCTTCCAGGAAGGGTAGACTATAAACGGGAAGGGAGGAGGGGAGGGAATGGGAAAGGGAAAGGGAACGGGCCAGGGACAACAGAGGCCTGATTCAGGCATTACTGGAACAGTGTCATTTCAGGAATGGCAGGATTATGCTGGTACCAATAGCAACCTTCCAAATGATACTCCCATTCCATGAAATTCCACTCTCTAAATGTAATTACCGTGGTCTAGATCTAGCAAGGGATACACAGCAACCAGAAGGGTACGAAGTAGGCCTCAGACAAAATCAAGTAAGAGACCAAGGGTAAATCCTGCTGTACAGAGGATTTTTCCAACTTATACTACCTTCTCAATCAGGCCATGTGTCCTAACAATGGGACCAGTAAATGTTTAGGGCCTCCAAAATCTGAAGGAATAAAAATAGGCCCTGTGCAAAATCTTAGCTGAGACATTTAATAAATGAAATGTTCATAACACAGAATACCAAGTCCTTACTGGTGGATGGTGTTTTCAAACTGCAACTGCATAATAGTACTGCAATAATCCAAGCTAAATTAAGTACCTTAACTTTTTTTTGGGGGGGGGGAGGAAGCAGACATGTCTGTGCACATGCACATGCACATGCATGCGCACACACACACACAATACAAACCTGATTCTTAAACAATAATCAAATTGAGATACTAAATGAAAACAGTCTGATTCAAGTTTGGAATGAAGGCTTCAATTAGTAAACGAAACAGGACGGCCACAAACCTATACTTGGGTCTGCCCAATAAATCCCCACCAGTGCTGAAATAGGAATCTTGGGGAAATGGGGACTTCCCTTCTCTAAGACATAATTTCTCTCCTTCTGTAACAGTAAAAACTACAACCCAAACCAGCAGCTCAAAGTGGCATTCCCAATCATGTTCTATAATTACAATGCTTAGCCTCCTGTCAGGGAAAGATCTATCATATATTCATAAATTCTAACATGAGCCACAGCCAACCAGCATTTCGTACTTTATCAGAGGCTGTTAGCCAACATGTCACATAGCAAAACCACACCCAAGACAATCCATCAATAATCAGCATGCTCAGAATACAAAGCATGGAGGAAGGGCAGTACAGACTATCCCCCTCTGCTACCCAGCCACTTCAAAAGAACTTTGGAACCTCCAAATCCTTTGGAACCCAGCAAGATGGGAATGTTATCGTTTTATCTCAACCACCTGCACAAGATTCCTATGGGGTCAGTGACTATTATTTTCATTTTAATAATGTGGAACTGAGGCTATAAGCAATGAGCCATCCAGGTAATTCCCATGGTTGGACTGGTATCTCAGTTCTATCCCATTTTCATCCTGTCCTTCCTCCGACATGCTAAAAGGTCTCCCCTCCTCCATTTTGTTCAGATACAAATTTAGAATTCTATCCACTGGAACATAGTAGTTTGAGTGTTCCCTATTGCCTCACAGATCTGCCTGGAAAGACAATTTAGCTAATAAACAGAAAGAAAAGGAAATGGGAAAACAGAAATCTATTTACCCAGTTAACACAGTAACACTGAAATGCCCTCTGAGAAAATTCAGAATAGCCAGTTTCACATCCCAGCAACTTGTTCTCCCAAAGAATTTGGCTCTTGTGCTCCGATTGCTGTGAAATTCAGGAGTCTGCAATTTGTGGTCAGAACTTTTCCCCTTAATGTGGATAGACAAGTAACTTGTATGAGCCACACATTATGGAAATCAAGTCCTAAGAGGCACAGCTGCCTTGTGATCCGTTTCCCAGTGCATTTTCCATGGCTGCACTCCTGGCTATAGAACATGCCCCCATCATCTCCACTTAAGTGCAGACATGATGGCTTGGTTCACATGGAAGCGTAAGCACTAAGAGACAGGTTCAGAACAGTGGAGGATTAAAAGCAAAAAGGCAGAGTCCAGCATGTAGAACTGGCAGCTCTGGTGAGCTTCTAGAGTAAACACACAGCTAGCACTGCACAGACTCGTTATAGCCCACTGCAGCTCAGACTCTCTGCATATATTCAGCATTGGACCATTAGTAGTTTGAAGAGTGAATACGGAATGAAAGCAAGCATCTATACAGGCCCTCCAAGATCAATACGGAAACTTACCCTCTGACTCCGCAGTGTGACACCTGCAGACTTGAAATCCGGAAACTTGATGCCAGCAGTCTCTGGAACAGCCTAAAAAAGGAGACAGTATTTGTTAAAGTGAAGTAGAGGCATTAAAGACAACCCCGAAAGGGAAGCACCACTTCCTGACCAAGAACCCCCCTCTCAGAGGCACAGGGGTAAGCCAAGAAAAAAGAGGGACCCCACCCCTTTTACTTTTAACGGTATTACGTGGACTTGATAACCAGGGCTGGTTAAACCATGGATTCAGAACACTGCAGGAGAATTAACTCACTCATTCAGATGCCATTCAAATTGCATAAAGTGAGTTTGGTAAATTCAGTTTGCAATTAATATGAACTTAATCCTCACGATGTTATGAGACCATTCAGTAACAGATGCCATTCTCCTGAATAATTTTGGGCAGATCAGTATGAAAGTGATGCATGTTGCAACAAAGCAGCTTCAACTGCACTTACACTATATCTGGTTCTGAACTAATATACAGTTTAAAAAAGCAATAAAGGGGTAAATTTCTTACAACACAAAGCTATCTTTGGAATTCACTATTGTAGCGTCTGTATTTCATATAGAAGTGTTAAAGAAATGAACTAATGGAATCTGTGGGTGCTAACACAAAGTTATCAAGGTCCAATCCTCTTGACACAGCACTCCTCTACTTTAGGATCCAAGAAATGGAAGTGAACAGTATGGATTGGAGGACTCGATTCAAGCCCCATAATTCCTCTTAAATGTTTACAACTAACTAGCAACTGAGGCAGGAACTGGACAAGATGGAATACTGACATGATAACATGTGAAACTGTAAGTTCTTCATTTCAAGGGCTGCACTAACCTAAGTGCAGCCTCTTCCAGATTAACCATCAGGACTCTGCCAAGCTAAAATCTATTTCCTCCTAACTAGGACTACAAGAAAGCTGTTCAGGCTGCCAGGTCGTTAAACTCTTGATTAACTTCCACATCTTTGGCTGTGTTCAATCATCTGAGAAACAGTTTCTAACTCCAATACAGACACAAAGTTAGTTTCAAGCATCATTTTATGCAAGATCAACATGCTCATTTGTTTCCTAGCCTAATCTCCTCTCCTCCATTTTATCCTCACAACAACCCTGAGAGGTAGGTTAGGTTGCAAGTGTGTGACTGGCCCAAGGTCACCCAGCAAGCTTCCGTGGCAGAGTGGGAACTTGAACCTGAGTTTCCCAGACATTTTAACCATTACACCACACTGGCAGGCACAACTCAACAGAAAATAAAGGTAGGAGACTCAAAATTGGCCACCAGCTTCAGGATGACTGTGGGAGTTCCATGGACAAAATGGAAAGGCATTGGAAAATGGTGGCCCAGGTGAGACAAACCACAACTACATCATGCTATTTGCAATGGAAGCTTAAGGTCTCTGTTTGTGGCCGGCATAACTCAGAAGATAACGCTACATGTTTGAAAACTGGCCACCAATCCCAGAATGATGATGGAAGTTACAGTGCCAAAAATGAAGGGAACTGGAACATCCTGAACTAGGTTATCTTCACAACAGGCAACATGGAATAAGAGAGCTTTTAAGCAACCTGTTGTGTGCCTCTAATGCCCAGATCCCCAACCCACCATGGAAGGTTGCTGGGTGACACACACTCAGCCAGACCTACCTCACAAGGCTGTTGTGAGGATAAAATGGAGGACAGGAGAGCAAGGCAGCTTTGGGTCCCCATTGGGGAGAAAGAATGGGTATGATGTTTGCTATAAATATAATGTTAATTATATTTTTAAAATTATATCATTTGTCATAAAGCAAAGTAGCCTTTACAAAAGGTATTAGATCTTCCACCAGCACAATAATGACTAACAACCCACTGCCTGAACTAGGAGTTGTAACTTCTGTTGCACATGGGGACTGCCTCTTCCCATATATGCCTTGAAGAGCATTACGCTCTGAGAGTCAATATCTCCTGGCAATCCCTGGCCCAAAGGACATCCGCCTAGCCTCAACCACGGCCAGGGCTTTTTCTGCCCTGGCCCCCACCTGGTGGAACATGCTCCCTATTGAGAACAGGGCCCTGCGGGATCTTCTTCAATTCCACGGGGCCTGCAAGACGGAGGCCCCCCCCCCCAGGTTGCTGTCTCCCACCCACTGATAACCGGCCATACCTACCTACATCAATGGGCTGGATTCTCTCCATGGCAAACTATTATTGATTTATATGTTTATAATGCGTTTTAAAATTTTATTGTATTTATGGAAATGTAACCCGCTGTGAGCCCATTTACGGGATGGGCAGGATATAAATGCAAAAAATAATTAAAAAATAAAATAAATAACCACTAAAACAGATTAATGTTCCATTACCATGCATGTAAAGGGTGGAGGAGGGGGGAAGCATCCTTTTACTACTTTGTTAGATCACGGGGAAATACTAACTCCCCCTCCGTTCTATTCATAACATTAACAAAAGTTTGGTACTATACTATTCTTAAGTTCAGTCTGTCGCTAAGCAGGATAGGATGCCAGAATCTGCCCCATTTCACTCCTGTACAGTTGATGTCTTAGTGTTCCTGTTCAACTCACTTGCTCCCTGCTTACACTTCATGGAAAGGGAAACAGCTGCCCATCTCAAAGTCCCTCATATTTTTTCTCCAGGAGTAATGTCTTTCCTCTTTAGCCAAATATTTCTCCATTACAAGTAGAAAGCATATAATTTACTTTCTGTTCAACCAGGGCAGATTCACAAGTATTTTGATACTATAAATTCTTGGACAATTAAGCTGTAACTTTTAAAGAGTGTGAGTGTGTGTGTTTCCTCAGCAGAGGAAGAAAGAAACCCAGCAGAAAAATCTCCACCACAGGTTCTTCTACCTTGCTCTCCTTGTAATGGATTCCAGGTCTACAGCACAGAACAAAGTGCAGCAGCAAGAGACTGCGGAAGATGCAACAACTGCTTCTGCTCAGGTGAACAGAAGCGATAAATCCTTTGTGCCAAGAGGTTTGCATAGATGTTTTGCACTGATTTAAAACAAGATGTTTAAAAAGCTCATTATTTATCACTTACAGCACTAAACCTGCTATCATAATATTTGCAAAGTGTGGTGAGACAAGTTACCATGTACTACCATGTACAACACTACAGAAAGTTAGTATATTAAAACCATGAAATCAGAAAACCTCAAAAGCTTCAGTTATAGGGCATATTTTGTCCTACAGGTCCCATCTTTCTGCCTACTCCCCAGATCTACCTTGCACGCACACCCAGTGCTCCCTCTAAGCTGTGCGCGTGAGAGACCGCTCATTAACACAGGAATCCCCACTCAGCAGCAATCTGGAGCTACCCATTGCCCATTTTAAGATTACAGCAGTTATATTCTGCTCAGGATGCAAACTGCTCCACTAAGGGGGGGGGGGAATTAGAGGGAACATTGCACACCACCACACCTATTTCCTGACCAACTTCTACTGTCTGCTAAAGAACATCCAGAAATTTCCCAATCAGTATTACAAATAGGATTTTCATTGGCATGGAGCTCTAGATGTGTGCACACACACAACATATATACATGCATCAATCATCTACAAAATATTGCGGTCCTTTTTTGTCTTCTCTGCTTTCTCGGTTTGCTTCTGTTTACTCCTTCAGTGGCACCTCCCTGCCACCATGAACAATACAAAGAGAGAAAAATGTTGGCATTTCCACATGGTGGCAGCCTTACTCAACTGAACAAACAAGTCAGGATCTCCATTTTCAGTCTAGACAAGAGACTGGCCAACAAGTCTTAAGGACACAAAGACTAGTCAATTCTGTGGGGACCGGTCAAAATGGAAACAGAAACCCAAGAAGTCACAGGAGCTCACTGAAAGGTGGAGCAGTGCTGGATACTCCAGACATGCTTCTGAAAAGAAAGAAAAAGTGTCTCCAGCCCCTCACCACTTATATTTGCATTTGTTCCTACTGAACTCAGACAAATGCCAGACCAGCCTTTTCCAGAAAGGTCAAGTACATGAAGGGCTATACTGTGAATCATAAATACGACAATTCATGTATGCTCTAATCAGGAGTGCACAACTTAAATGCTTACATGGGTCAGATTCACAATGATTGGAACTAAGCGGGCTGCACTGCACTGCAAAAATATAGGATATCACTAGGCCCTTCCCCGGACATTATGTTGCACACCCCCGGACATTATGTTGCTTGGCCAAGACAACTCCTTTGAAGGTATCTAATTCTGTATCTAAGCTACAAGCAAAGGAAGAAGAAGAGTCTCAGAGCGGCTTACAAACTCCTTTCCTTTCCCCTCCCCACAGCAGACACCCTGTGAGGTAGGTGGGGCTGAGAGAGCTCTTTGAAGAACTGCTCTCGAGAGAACAGCTCTGACAGAACTATGGCTTGCCCAAAGTCATCCAGCAGCTGTAAGTGGAGGAGTGGGGAATCAAACCTGGTTTCCCCAGATTAGAGTCCGCGCACTTAACCACTACACCAAACTGGCTCAGCCATTATCTAGGCAACTAGCGTCAAATACATCAAATAAACTATTCTCCTCTTCAGGACACTATAAAGTAGCGAAAATTATCATAATTCCTTTAGTTCTCAGACCCACACTAATGGGTCAAGTCATGTTGTGTTATTACAAGCTCTAATGAATAAGTTTCACCTAATGCCTACCATAACCTGTAGAGGGATAAACTATTGTAGCAAAAAAGAGCAAAATCAACCCTGCCGCTATTGGATCAGCAGTAATGCATGCTGGAATCTGCAGACTCTACCAGAGAGTAAAGGCCAAGAGGGAGGGGGGGCAGTAACCAAGCTTTCATAAAAACATCTGTAAAAGAGAACCTCAGAACAGTCTGGAAGTGCCCCCTGACAACTTCCCTCAGCAACTCTCTGCCTTGCCCCCTCATGAGAATGGACACGCACTCACCCCACAGCACAGACAGTCTTCACCCTATCAGCACAATTAAACAGGTTGCTCTCCCTCATACTCCAGCATGAGCTATAAATGCTTCAACCTCAATTGACTCCTTGGTAAATGACTTCCCTTTGTTGAGATGATGCTGATACAGCCCTCGATTCAAATTCTTAGTTAAAATGCAATTTAAAAAAAAAAGTGTTTCCCTGCTACGGTTGGTAATTGACTCCTAATGGACTCTGTCATGGTTGAAACGGCACTAGTACAACAACAGAAGCCGCCTTCGGGAGCCCCGAGGTGCTTGCCTATAGCAGACACAAGGGCTCCAGGCAATGCTGGGGGAGGTAGCCAAACATGCCTCAAGCATTTTGAATGGCTATCTAATCCTGGGCCCCACTGGCACGAAACAGTTTAGCTGACAAGGCTATGAGGATTACCTGGCAAGGGAAAACAGAAATGGAAACCACAGCGCTGGGCCCTTTGGGACATCCCAACCCACAAGGTAATCTTTCCCAGAGAAAACCGGCTTCAGACACACAACATGGCGCTTACTACAAAGACAGTTTAGCACCTCTTTCCTTACCCCTCAAAACCAGCTGAAAGGAAGACCCTTTCGCAGAAACTGCACACGGCCAATGCTGTCACTCCCAAACCATTCACTACATCTTGAACCACTTTGCTGTCCCGCCACCCACAGCCTGTTGATTATATTGTGGCCTCCTGTGTCACAGAACCACAGAGAAGAAACCACAGGCTCAAGACTGAACACAAGACAGGAAAAGTCAGACAGGCACTGCTAAGACAGCACTGCTCCGTCAGTTATCCAGCCTTGCCTACCATCTGCAGCCTTTAGGAAATGTAGAAAAGGCCATTGTAGTATGAACTAATATGTACAACACCATTCCTAAGCAGGGATGGGATAATCAGCTTCTGAACACCTTCTCTGAATGTTTCAAAATGACTCCCTTCACCCTGGGAAGAGACAGTTTCAGCTCCTTTATTAACCATGGAAGACAGCCAGGGTGGCATAGTGGCTAACGCTGGACTATGAATGGGGAGACCCAGGTTCAAATCCCCACTCTGCAGTTGGAGAGAAAGTTTGAGTATAAATTAAGTAAATCAAATAATAATAAATAAGGGGTTTTTAGAAACCAGGGAAAGGAGTTTGACCGCTCTATCATCCTCCATCCTAACATACTGCAGCCAATTTCACAGAGTAACTACATTTCCTGGCACAAACCAGCTTAAAATTTGCCCTTTTCAAATTTCACTCAACTGAACTCCATGCCAAAGAGGAGAGCTAGTTCCTGCTTCCTCTGACCTTTAAGTCCCGTTTGCTTTCTTCCCATGCAGCAGTTTCTGTTCCTTCCAGTTTAAAACTGACCCCCCTCCCCCAAACTTTGGAGAGAGATGTGACCCATCTCTCATCCAAGCTCTCCCATGCCACAAAAAGACAGCAGGCTTTAAAAAGAAACAAAACAGCCCACAGAAATTATGCTTGTGGCTATGGCTGGGCCATTCATCCCTCAGTCACCATCCAGAGCCTAGCAGGCAAACTCTGGCCAAAGAAATGGCAAGGCAATAGCATAACAAATAATAAGGACAACGGAATAAACCCAAGATGTTTACAGGCTTCTCTGTCTCTTTCTTCTGTGGCAGCTTCTTCTTGGGTGCCTTGCGTTCTGCGCGCCTTTGTTCAGTGGTTGTGTCAGCAGCAGTAATGAGTTTCTGCAAGTCTTGCGTTCGCTTTTCCCTCTCCTTCTTCCTAGCTTCGATTTTTCGCAACTCCTGGATTAGATATTCCTCTTCTGCCACCTACAGGTGAGAAAGCGACAAATCTAATAGGAAATGTGTGGTAAAGCAGTATGAGAGAGACACCTCGTGTTAGCATTTGGACTGCTCATCTGCGTTTCCACTGTCCTACAAACTTCAGAGTGGAGGGGCTTAATAAACACAGACAAAAGGAGCCATTACCTGATAGAATATTTTCTCTAAGGCACCAGAACCTCCAATGGTGCACAGCACACCCAGAAATATAGTACTCCCGTGGTTCCCTGACCAATCATCGTCTCCCAGCTTCCAACTTCCTTTCTCAGTCTGCTCATCCCAGCAACTCAACACCTCTTCACTGTTCTCAACAGCCCCGCTTTCTTCAACGTCATGCCTTCACCACCCATCATTCCCTCGTTCTTGCCTTTTCCATCTGCTAACCAGTCCCTTAGCTCCACTTCTGACTCCATTTTCCAGTATCTCTGCCTCATAGCATCAAGTGCCATAGAGCCTGTATAAGTAGTTCTCAGCAAAGCTGCCTTTTCATTTTGTTGACAAATCATTTTCTTAATAGTTTTAATGTCTGCAAAGATTCCACGACATCACATTAGCTCACCCAACTGTTGCCAGGGGTTTAACCATCACCAGCATTACAGTTCAGATCATACTACCCCCTTAAAGGTGATGCTGGAGAACACTGAATGAAGGGCACATTGTTTCAGCATTAAATAATGCAGGAATCCATCTGTTTAAAGTGTGTGGGGTGTGCTACTTGAATACCTTGTCTGAAATCAAGAGGTAAATGTTGATGGATGCCAGCAGCTATAGGCCTTCCCAAACAAATAACTAATAAAATCATATGTTATACACATCATGTTTCATTCATTTACTATTTACCCTCATCAACACAAGCATTCAGGCCCATTAATTGATAAACAGGCCTCAAGAGGTTAGAAGTGGACCCAAGAATACTCTCTTGAAGAGGAAACTGCCCCAGAGGGAATGGGGCAGCAATCAGGAAAGATCAATTTCCTGCAGAGATCTGGTTCATAAAGAAATGTGAGGCCTTGGTGCCTTCTAATGGTCTCTATCTAACTAGTGGATTTTTATCCCACCCATCCAAGGAGCTCTGAACAGTGCACACTATTCTTCTTTCATTATTGTACCCTAACAACATGTGAGGAAGGGTTACGCGGACAGAGAATGACTGGCTAACTGAGTTTCATGGCTAATGAAGGATCTGAACCCATGTCGCCTAGATCCCAGTCCAACACTATAATATTTATTTATTTGTTTTGTTCGATTTATATTCCGCCTTCCCCACAGGGGCAGGCTCAGGGCGGTTTACAAGAAGTTAAAATACGATACAATAAATGCAATAAAACATAGATGCATTAAACAATGCAATAATATAAAATTCAGACAAACAATCAGATTTATATATAAAGTGCTGTTGCATTTAGATGGCGATAGCACCTTATAAGGCCATTTTATGATGGTACCATGTGGCTATACCGGTATCATTAGCTGTTCTTATTACTATTAACACAAGGGCCTTAACAATTCAGTTGTTGGCAATTCAGATGTTGTCGATCTCCCCAATATTACCTGTTCTTAACTACTTTCTTTATTCAGTTTTACTATACAGCCAAAAGCACTTTTGTAATGTATACATTTTCATGTTTTGGAGTCCTACATATAAAATATTTTCCCCACCATTTATATACTCTTATCCATCTTCTTTGGAACAGTATCTCATCTTTACCACGTAATAACATAGTCAGCTTGTCCAATTCAGCTATTTCCAGCAGTTTCTTTGCTATATCTATTCTAGAGGGTAATTTATCTGTTTTCCAACATCGGGCTACCATAATTCTTGACGAAGTTAAGATGTATGTTAATAAATATCTATCTTCTCAATCAAAGTTATCTGGAATAATGTTTAACAAGTATATTTCTGGTACCAAGTTTAGATTGACATTCATTATTTTTAGTATTATCTGCTTGATGTTTTTCCAAAACTTTTGCATCTTACAACATTTTCATCACGTGTGAAAAAACATTCCTATATTATTTTTACATTTCCAGCAATTCTTTGAGATTTTAGGTGCATATTTCCCAATTTTATCGGGCGACCAGTACCATCTATGGAACATCTTATATAAATTTTCTTTATAAGCTGTTCAACTAAGGTATCTCATTGTCTTCCATATTTTGGCCCAGTCATCAATATCTATAAGTATAACCCATATCTTTCATCCACGCTACCATTGAGGGTTTAACCATCTCTTCTTGCATATATCTTTCTATCAGAAAGGTATATACTTTTGTATTAACTTATCACTGGTTGACAACCATATATTGTCTAATTCATTATTTCCCGCACAGAAACACGTGGTTTTATCTTTACTATATATAGATTTAAGTTGTGTATATTTCCCACCATGATAACTGTATACTTGCTGTGTCCAGGTTTTTAATCTTGTCTTTTTTATCTAATAAGTACTCATATGTTTCTATCTTGTCTTTCGTCAAAAGAGTTGGTTTAATAAATGCTTCAAGTGGGGAGACCCACCTTGGTATTTTCTTATAATATTTTTCTTTCAAATTCTGCCAGTATTTTATCCAATATTACCTGTTCTGGCGTCCGGTTATATAGCCTCTCCAGTTGCTCCTTCCTACGCCTTTCATGGCCAGCATCGAACACAGGGATTTTCAGATCAGTGCCTGGGGCAGCACGAATATTGGCCAGCTTGGCACAGATGTGATAATAGCGCTCTTTTAAGTCTTCCACTGACCGTTTCTAAGGGGAGAAAGAGGGTACAAATGTGTCAGGACCCTAATCAAAGAACTAAGCACACGAGAGGCTGGAAAGCAGCTGTGTTATCTTTTTGGTCTTAAAAAATATTTCAGGCAGACATCAACATTGTACCTACTTCCACAACATTGCCCAGAGGATTTTTTCCAATGTTTCTCAAGCTCATTTCCCCGGTCCCCATCAATATCACTTATCCGTTGCAGAGGGTAAGAATTCATACAAAACATCAGCGGCAGAACTAGGAAAAGAACCCAGGGATGCATTCAGGAGACCCAAGAAGCTGCAGCTGGACTCCCATTGGACATATTTTATTATTTATTTATTCAATTTATACCCCGCCCTCTCTGGCAGAGCAGGCTCAGGGCAGCTTACATAAAAGATTCAATATATAAATACAATTAAATAAATCATAAAAAGCATAAAACAGTCCAATTATCATAATTATCATAAAGTGCTAAAACAGTAGGTTTCATAATAATAGTGTTACTTAAGGTGACAATGACAGTCATGTTGGTATGTTCAGTAGTCTACCTTGATGGAGATGTTCTGCATCCATTCACTGTCCTGAATAGTTTCAGAGGGTAGCTGCATTGGTCTGTAGTGTGAGGTGTCATTTAATCACACATTGAACTATTACTGAAGATGCCTTTAGTGCAGTTTGGTATCTGTGATTTCTACTCTTATGCCTTGTGAGGTAGGTGGGGCTGAGAGAGTTCTGAGAGAACCCTGACTGGCCCAAGGTCACTCAACAGGCTTCATGTAGAAGAGTGGGGGATCACACCTGGTTCTCCAGAACAGAGTCCACTGCTCTTAACCATATACACAGTTTGTTCCTGTGCTAGCAAATATCCCCTACTCTTCCCCCTTTCTTCTTCCCTAGCATGGAGCTTGACGGAACACTGTCCAGCTAGATCAAGCTCACTGCGATGTTCAAATGCACATGTCACAACAAACTAGAGCTTGTTTACTCTACACTGGACAGGATTCCCTCAGGTAAATCCCCATTTACAATCCTGGCAGGTGTGGAGTAAACAAACACTAATTTAGCAAGGTGCCTGCTTTTGTTGGTGAACAGGAGATTGAACAAACCGGGAAGTATTCAGTAGTCAAAGGGAAATGAGAAGAGCAAAGGACGTGCATGAACATGAATTGTGTTGTGCCAGTTTGTGCCAGTCTGCAGTTTAACTGCAGTTTGTTGTGAAGTGTGAATGCAGCCCAAGAGTCCCAACCTGTGTGTGTGACAGTGAAAGGAGGACAATCAGGCAGGACAACCAGATTCTAACTCCCCCTCTGTGCATAATCAGTCCTTTCCCATGTCTACTTCAGTGCTATGGCTATTTGTCAAGAAGTACAAAGTGGTTCCTTAAAGCCAGAATTTCTGGTATGCAACAACTGCCCCACTGAACTCTGTGTGTGTGTGCGTGTGTGTGTGTGTGCGCGTGAGAGAGAGAGAGAGAGATTAGTGAACAGACACTCACCTTGAACTGCTGGTGGTCATAGCGATCATGAATGACCACAAAGCGAAGATCAAAATGGCGTGACAAGTCAAAGAGGTGGTCGGTTTCAGCTTTGGTCCAGGCATCATCATGAAGGTACATCTGATATTCCTGCTCCGAATAAACAGGAACTTGCACAGTCTACAGCAAGAAGAGAACAGACTGCTCACACAATGGGCCACCACAGTTAATACACAAAACTGTTTGTTCTAGCAGGAAGACTTTGAGGCAGACAACCCCAAGTTTCCAAGGCACAGTATAGAATATAGAAATTCGGCATATAGACCGCCCTCCCCTGTGAAACAAGGCACAGGGGGGTGCACAACAATTGTATAAGCACATTCAAATCAAATTAAAAACAGTTAAAACAATGAACAGTATAACAATATCAGATGGCCCTAAAATGAATCAGTTCTATCACTACCACATGGGAGGAAGGAGAGAAAGGGGAAGTGCAGGCAAGATGGAAACCGTTGCTGTCCTCAACAGTAAGCCTGTCAGAACATCTCTGCCTTACAGGCCCTGCAGAACTGCACTAAATCCCTCAGGGCATGGATGTCATTCGGCAGAGAGTTTCTTGCTCGAAACTGTTTCCTTGCCACCGAAGTTTCATTCAGCAGACAGTTTCACCAGGCCGGTGCCAGGGCTGAAAAAGCCCTGGCTCTGGCTGAGGACAGCCAGATATTTTTCAGACCAGGGATCACAATCTACACTCCAGCTTTGCTACTCCCAAGTGCCAAAGCCATGGGGACTCCAAGCTCCTTCCACCAATTTTATCTGCAGTTCTATGCCAGACCCTCAGCATAAAAGGGTCATGTCAACAGACACTAAAGTGCTGCCAGATGGCTATGCATATGCTCTGCACTTCTCCTTTCTGAGCTTTAAGAGTAATAACTAAAGAGGAAGTTTTGAGATACTTAAATGAAAGTTTATCTAAGCCCTCCTCAAGCCTCCGTACTTTGTTGAATCTGGCAAAGGGGTAGTCCTTGCCCTCTTCCGCTGCCCTTCTCCAGTGGTAGAACATGGCCCCATCCTTACGAGCAGGGTTGGTGAAGGGCATCCACTTCCAAGGCCGCACTTTCTTGGAGCCCAGCTTTGCCTTGACTGTGCGGTAGCCCTGCGTTGTATCACTTGGTAGCAAAGGAGGTGCATCCCTGAAAAGAGATAAGACATGAGCTGATGAATCTGCTTCTGGCATGAGGCTCATTTCACATATTCACTGTCAGTTCCATGATCTCTGAGGAAGACTGAAGGCTTCAGACAATTTGATCTTGCACAGTCTGGATCGCTAGGTTACAAAAGGTAAAGGTTCCCTTGCTCGAAAGCCAGTCAAATCCGACTCTAGGGTTGCGGTGCTCATCACAGTTTCAAAGCCGAAGAGCCAGCGCTGTCCGAAGACGTTTCCGTGGTCATGTGGCCGGCATGACTAGACGCCAAGGCGCACGGAACGCTGTTACCTTCCCACCGAAGTGGTACCTATTTATCTACTTGCAATTTCTTGTTTTCGAACTGCTAGGTTGGCAGGAGCTGGAACTAGAGATGGGAGTTCCCTCCATCATGTGGCACCTGGGTCTCGAACTGCTGAACTACTGACCTTCCACAGCCTGCAGTTCAGCGTCTTAACCACTTGAGCCACCGCAGCTCCCTAGGTTATACACTTAACTCAAAACCAACTTTCAGACAAACACAGGTTTCAAATGTGAACTCAGCCCAGAGGAGACTAAAGGGCAGAAACTATCAATGAGACACACTGAGTTTCTAATTCAGTCTGGAAGCGAGGACATCACTGAAACTGGGAAGCACCCTACTTAATGCAAACCATCTTTACCTTACATGACAGATCTACAATAATCACAATTATTTATGTTGAAATGCAAAACACAATCAAATTTCAGAAAAGTTTTGCAAACAGATTCCTGACTGTTCCTCCCATCTTTCTTGAGAAATCTGTGGACCAAGCATGGTGGCACAACACTTTTAATTTTATTTTACATTTTGATATTACAGCATTGCAGCCCTACTGATCTGTGCGGGAAGTAACGGTACCCTGCTCTTTGAGAAACATAACCCCAAAGCTTCCTTGGGCATGTAAGGCAAGTCGCATGGTTGTCTGGCTCCAGGCTGCAAGGCCACAGAATAAAAGTCTCATTTTGTTTACTACGATGTTGATGGTTTTAGCTTTCAACTTTTATTCTTATTTTCCCAACTCGCAAAATTTAAGATATATTTACGCATTTTAGGGTGTAGCAGCGTAAGGCACTAGACTTTTACATTTCACAAAATATAATTGATGACTACTATTTTATTTGCCAAGTAAGTCTACATACATTTTACATTCAATCAGTAGTGAAATATGTTTAGATTTTGTAATAAATTATTGCATATAACTGTAAAAACAAACAAAAAACTATAACATTTCAGTTTCCCCCCAAAACATAAAAGTGTCATTCCCACCCATGCCTTCAAAAATGTTAGAAGCATTATATTTTAGAAGTTCCTCAGACATCTGGAGCATGGAAATCAGAAACACTCAGGCAGCACCTCCATTACATGGAGAGCTACCTGGAAGGGTGAAGCTTAGGAAGCTGCTCTAAAAGTTGCAGGAAGGCCTTTAAGAACTCAGTAAAGGGATAGACAGGAGCAAAAGAAATTGCAGCTTAATGCAGACAGATGTCTGTAGATGAGGGGAAAACTGTTCTGGGATTAGATATATAACCAGTTCTTAATTGAACCAGAAGGATCAGGTTTGCCGGGGGGGGGGGGGGGGGGGCGTGCCTGGCTCTGCTGCTGTAGGAAGAGATTGCAGAACTGGCTAGGAGTGCCTTTTACCAGTTTAGGCTGTTTTATCAGCTGCATCCATTTTTAGACAGAAAAAACCTGACCACTTTCTCACATGCTTTGGTTATATCCAGTTAGATTATCAGAATGTGTTTCATATCAGCTTTCATTTAAAGAAGGCCTGGAAACTTCAGCTGGTTCAGAATGTGGCTGAAAGGGTCATAATTAGGACCTAGTACGAAATGCATATGGCATCAGTACTATTTCAGCTTCACTGGTAACCAATTTGTTTCCAGACCTGTCTCATGGAGCTGGCAATGTCCTTTAGAACCCTAAATGGGATGCAGGTACTTGAAGAACCATAACTTGAGATTCACCAGTGGTATCCTGCTTTACATTTCCACACAAAGGAGGTCGACACGTTTTTTTCAGCCATGGCTCCCAGACTTTGGAACTTCCTTCTCCTTCACTTTTCTGCACCTTCTGGTGTGCCATAAGCAATATTTTATTCTGGAGAACTTTTGGTAATTATACTCTGTGGATATTTTATGGTTGCTGCTGATTACTTTTTGTTGCTTTATTTGCAATTTTATCGCCATCTATCTTATTTTTGTTTGTTTTAGCTGTGTTTGCATTTTTTTCATTTTACTGTTTCACTTGTTCTGATACTTTAAAGCTTTATTAGCTGCTTTGAGTGCTACACCGTAGTTGACTGGAAGGATATAAAGCTTCTAAATAAGGAAGAACCAGTGTTGAGACACTCACACATATAAAGCTGAGGGCATGAGCGGAAGGCACTCACCACTCCCCAGGACCAAAGCTATGCTAATGCTCTTACTTTTTATCAGAGTACAGCAGGGCATAGACCTCCCGATGCATTCCTTCTGGCCTCTTAAAAGTTAAGGTCTCCGAAGACTTTTTCGATTTTTTCTGAAACAAAAGATCTTTATTAGAGGCACTGGAAAAAATCATTACTATCAGCAGTGTTGCACTAAGGCATACGTTTTCTGGCAGAATGACAGTTCACTATTGGGAAGAATGTGCCTGTTATAATTGGATGCATAACATCCAGATCACAAGATGTCATAGTTCTACTGTACACTGCATTGATCAGGTTGCAACTGGAGCACTGTGTGCAGTTCTGGAGGCCTCACTTCAAGAAGGATGTGGACAGAATGAAGCAGGTGCAGAGGACAGCAATGAAGACAATTAGGGACCTGGAGGCCAAACCCTATGAAAAAAGGCTGAAGGACTTGGAAATGTTCAGTCTGAAGAAAAGGAGATTACTCTCTTTAGGTATCTGAAAGGCTGTCACTTAGAGGAGGGCTGGGAGCTGTTCCTGTTGGCAGCAGAGGATAGGACTCACAAGAATGGGTTTAAATTAAGGATGGAAATATATCAGCTGGAAGTCAGGGGTTAAAATTTTTTATAGAAAGAGTAGTTCATCAGTGGAATCAGCTGCCTAGGGAGTTGGTGAGTTCCCCCTCACTGGCAGTCTTCAAGCAGCAGCTGGACAAACACTTGTCAGGGATGCTTTAGGCTGATCCTGCATTGAGCAAGTGGATTGGACTAGATGGCCTCCTCCAACTCTATGATTCTACGATCCTTTTTTGCCCAGACAATCCAGTTTAATTGATCCCTAATTAAAACTTGACTTCAGTTAATTTGAAGTAACCGTCTGAAAAGGAGGAAGAAGAGGTGTACTTTTGTCACAGAGTATTCCTAAAAAAATCTATTCAGGAATTAAGTGAATATAGTCGTTATCACTTTTTAGCTGGTGCAAGGGGAGAAGTTTGTTCATGACATGGCCTTTCCCCCCCAAAGGCAATCTCATCAGTGGCTTTCAGAATGTGGTGGGTTTCAGAATTCTGGGCGTAGGGAATGAGACACGACTGTAGGGGCTTTCTACTTACAGCTGGCTGAAGCAGACTGTTCCTATAGTATCAGCCAGACTTTGCTTCCTACTGTATCAGCAAGTCCTCCTTCCATCCTCATTCTCCTATCATCCCACTTTTTTGACAAACTGCTTCACAGCATCTCTCTCTTTTCTCCCCAACAAGACAAGAGGTGCAAAGTAAAACAGAAAGCAGCAAGATAGGATCCTTGGTGTGATCACAGCTTTGGGGTTCTGGGAACTCCAATGTCAATATTCAATGTAAGTGTTATTATTCAATGTAAGTGTTATAAAAGAATAGAATATATTAATACTTGATTCATGTTAATGGACCAGAAGGAGGGCTTTATACAATATATCCCAGCTGAATATACTCATAACATTTCACTGAGTGGCCAAAACAAAATTGAGTTACCACATTTCTTTCAGACTGTAAAGACTTGCAAGAGCGCAAAGACGGCAAAGGGCTTGGGGTCTTTAAACTGCTTCAGTTTCATGGAACAGGAGGCTAACACACTCTCTCAAGAACAGACTTGTGAAATTCCCCGTTAAGGGAAAATTCTAGCAAGATACAAAGCAACAGTAAGATCTTTTTATGTTTTTGCAAGGCACTTTGCTGCTTACAAGTGTAATAGCAGTATCCCCACCAGCATCACCACACCAGCACCACTGCTTAAGCTGCAAAACAGGGAGAACTCCCTCACCTCATTACGAAAGGCTCAGGCTCAGGATTAAGCCTCCTGGCAATAGCCAGCACTGAAGACCCTCCTCCCCGCTCCATATCCTACACATTCCTACCCATAGATGTGGATGGCCCTGTAACTTCCCAATAATCATGTTATAAGAGTACCAGCAGATATATCCCCAGCAGATATCTGGGAAGGTGAGAATGGAAAGACAAAAGGAAACCAAAAGTGTAATCTATTACTGAAGATTCAAACCACCCCTTTCCCCACCCCCCAAACTGTACCTTATCAGAATTGATGATGTCTTTTTTATTTATAATTCCTATGTTCTCAGACTCTGTGCCTCCCAGTTCCAATATATCCCGGACATCCGCTCCTGTGGCCATTTTGTTGCCTGAGACCAGAAAAAAAGAACTTTGTTAAAAACCCAGTGTTCGTTATCTGCCTTTTGGTTAACAGCAATGTACTATCACTGAACCAGAACTAGACTCCTAAGGAAGACAGACTACTATGGTACGTTAACTGACTTTCTTGACTTCTTTTTAAAGAACATAAACTCTTCACTTCACAGTAACTTTATACTGTAATCTGGAATTGATACTGTTTTCCATGTGCCTAGCCTAGAACATGCAAGCAGCTACAACAGTCTCAGCAGACATCTGAAAGTTCACTGTCAAGGGGAATACAGAAGAGAAGAGAGGAGAAGAGAGGAGAAGAGGATTGGATTTATACCCCACCCTTCACTATCCGAAGGTGTCTCAGAGCAGCTTAAAAACTCCTTTCCCTTCCCCTTCCCACAACAGACACCCTGTGAGGTAGGTGGGGCTGAGAGAGCTCTTGACAGAAACTGCTCTTTTTCAAGAATAGCTCTTATCAGAACTACGGCTTGCCCAAGGTCATCCAGCCAGGTGCAAGCAGAGGAGTGGGGAATCAAACCCGGTTCTCCCAGATTAGAGTCCGCGCACTTAACCACTACACCAAACTGGCTCTCTTATCAAAGCTCTCTTATCATATGCTAGGGATCCCCAATTCATTGCCCATGGGCACTATTGTACAAGCTGACACCTTTCCTGGTGCCCATCAAGTGTTTTTAAAAAGCAGATGGGGCCAGGCGGGCTTTTGTCTTGCAGGATTTCTGGCTGGCCACTGGAAATCTGATTGATTGTGCAGATTTTTTAAAAGCTGCTTCAGCAACTTTTATATTGAAGAAAATATTTTTAAACAATATGTTTATCTTGAAATAACCCTGTTAAGCAGAGCTGCTTGCTTACAAACGGGAGTCTTAGTCAGCTCCACCTCCTGTGGTGGCCATTTTGGCAGAACTACAAAGGTGCCCCACATCCATACGTTTGCCATCCAATTGCTGAATCTAGTATATGGCCCTTGAAAGATTTTTCAGGATGGAATTTAATAAATGCAAAATCCTAATAACTCTGCATATAGTATCTGACCAAGGCTTTGAACATGGAGGGACAAATATGCTTCCAATAGTCACATTGATGAACAAAACCTATTGAGGCAGACTCAGCATGGGTTCTGTAAGGGAAGATCTTGTCTCACTAACTGTTAGTGTTCTTTGAGGGGGTGTAAAAACATGTGGACAAGGGGGACCCAATAGATGTTGTCTACCTTGACTTCCAGAAAGTTTTTGATAAAGTTCCTCATCAAAGGCTCCTAAGTAAGCTCAATAGTCATGGGATAAAAGGACAAGTCCTCTTGTGGATCAAAAACTGGCTCATTCATAAAAAACAGAGAGTATAAATGGGCAATTTTCTCAGTGGAGGGTGGTAAGCAGTCAGCTACCGCAGGGCTCAGTACCAAGTCCAAATATTTTTAACTTGTTTATTAATGATTTGGAGTTGGGAGTAAGTAGTGAAGTAGCTAAATTTGCAGATGACACTAAATTGTTCAGGGTGATGAGAACGAGGGAGAACGAGGGAGTATTGTGAGGCACTCCAAAGGGATCTGTTGAGGATGGACGAGTGGGCCTCAACGTGGCAAATGGGGTTCAATGTGGCCAAGTGAAAAGTGATGCACATTGGGGCCAAAAATCTTAACTATAAATACGTGTTGACGGGGTCCAAACTGGTAGACTTACCAAGAGAGAGATCTTGGAGTCGTAGTAGATAACCCACTGAAAATGTTGAGACAGTGTGCAACTGCAATAAAAAAAGCCAACACTATGCTGGGGATTATTAGTAAGGGAATTGAAAACAAATCAGCCTGTATTATAATGCCCCTGTATAAATCGATGGTGCGACCTCATTTGGAATACTGTGCAATTCTGGTCACCATACCTCAGAAAGGATATTATAGCATTGGAAAAAGTACAGAAAAGGGCAACTAGAGTGATAAAAGGGTTGGAACACTTTCCCTATGAAGAAAGGTTAAAGAGCTTGGGGCTCTGTAGCTTGGAGAAACGATGACTGAGGGGTGACATGATTAAGGTTGACAAGATTATGCATGGGATGGAGCAGGTAGAGAAACACAATACAAGAACTCGTGGGCACTCAATGAAATTGCTGAGCAGCCAGGTTAGAACAGATAAAAAGAAGTACTAATTCACTCAAAGAGTGATTAACACATGGAATTCACTACCACAGGAGGTAGTGGCGGGTACATGCATGGATGGCTTCAAGAGGGAATTGGATAAACATATGGAGCAGAGGTCCATCAGTGGCTATTAGCCACAAGGTATAGATAGGAACTCTCAGGCTGGGGCAAGTGATGCTCTGTATTCATGGTGCTTGGGGGGGGGGAACAGTGGGAGGGCTTCTAGTGTCCTGGCCCCACTGGTGGACCTCTTGATGGCACCTGGTACTTTTGGCCACTGTGTGACAGAGTGTTGGACTGGATAGGCCACTGGCCTGATCCAACATTGGCTTCTCTTATGTTTTTATGTTACTATGTCTAAACTGAAATTTCTGAAAAGCTCCAATTCTGGGGTGGGAGAGAGAGAAGATACATATTTTTCAACGTATGGTGTAAACAAGCATTAGGAAGAAGACACTGCAATGGAATATATGAGAAAGCACACACACTGATGCTTGTTATTAACAAAAGGCGTATCTGTGTAAAAAGTCCCATTAAGTCACAGATGACTTATGATGACCCCAACAAGGGGTTTTCAAGGCAAGTGAGAAGCAGCAATGGTTTGCCATTGCCTTCCTTGGTGGTCTCCCAAGTACTGATCCTGCTGAGATTCCAAGATCTGACAAGATAGTAGTAAACCATGCTGCCTTCCCTCCCCAATAACGGGCTTGAGGGGATCCCAAAGAACACAGAAAGCCTGTTTTAAAATCACACCAAAAGATATGTACATGCATATTGCAGAATGCTTGGTTGGTTGAGGATTATCAGAATTCAAATCACAAACTGCTCTCTCTCAAATATGATAAAAAAACCCATACAATTTTGCTTGCTGCTTCGTTCAGACATTGCCATGTTTTAAACAATGATTTCCCCAAACCTTCTCCCACAACTCCCATGCAGTAAGTGATGTAATTACACCTGTGCACATCTCACAATTACACAAAAAGCCACTTCTCTGGCTTTTGATCTGGCTAAACCCATGTGGAAATTGTGTACCCGATTTAATGTACACTTTGTTTACATTACTGAACATACAAAATTGTTGTAGCTGAAACAAGTAAACTAAAACAACCTCTGTGTGAGCATATAAAGCCCCAGTGGGGAAAAACCTGCCCTTGCCAATTCTCTTAGCAGTTGATGAACAGGGACAGCCCCTTACCCACTAGTATAACAAACAGCCACTTATGAATATCCTGCCATTGGGGCTTGAGGCATCAAGTATACCTAAAAACAAGTATAATATTTGGTACAGATATCCATACACCAAACAGAAAAAGGAGAGAAAAGGAAGGGTATATTGAAAAGAATAAGCAAAGACAATATCACAGTAGTATTCCAGACAGAACTGATCCAGCTTCTGAATGGCTGAGGTTTTTCCATCAGCAACACTGGTCATTTATTTCCATTTGCTGTACTATGCCACATTGGATCCCTGGGCTGCATTCAGATGTCACAAAGAAACCACAGTTGGTTTGTGAAGAGAATGAACCTGAACTCCTTGGGCTCATGCACTTGTTCCCTCACGTACCTCACCGAGACTGAAACAGGGATCCCAGCTCTTTCACTTTGGTGGCAGACCACCTGGTTTGCACTCCCAGGCTCCTGGTGCTGCTCTGTTGAGAAATGGAAGCAAAACAGAGGGGGGAATTAGAACAGCAATTTCATCATCCTCAAACCCCAATGTCTTCCGCTGGTTGCCAGCGCTTGGTTGGCAACCCTAGACTGAAAACCTTCACGCAATTTACTTATAACATGAAGTCTGAATTCAAGTGCTTACCTTGCCTATGGATCAGGATTAACCTGAGTTTAAGACTCCCGTTTGTAGGCAAGCCGCAAATTTCAAGTTGAAGTAGTCAGTGGGCTTACAAAGGTATAACTTTGCTTACGATCGGTGTTCCCTCTAAGCTGAGTTAGTGTGACCTAGCTCACAGTTTTTTAGCCTCTGGCTCACACATTTTTGTCTTAGCTCAGGAAGGATGGCTCCAGAGCAAACTAATTTAGGCAGCAGCCAAATCACCTGCTCACAACAAATGCCAGTAGCTCAGAAAGCAAAATTTTTGCTTGCAGGACTCCATAGCTTAGCGGGAACATTGCTTACCATGGCACTCTTAATATATCACAATAAACTGCAGTTAGAAGATTCCCTAAACAAAGAAATGCACAAGTGGAGAAGACACATGAGGCTGAGAATTTCCAGTTTGTTCTCATCATGAACAAACTGCAGTTTCTTTCACCATCATCATCTTCAACTGATTAATAAGAAATGCCATTCTAAGATTCTTAAACACCATTTGATTTTCATATTATGATAAAAATATCTTCTACTAAATCATAATTATTGTAATGTTTATAATTGAGGGGGGGGGTTAAAAAGGCATTCATCAAAAAGGTGATTAGTTGATGTCCCATTAGAGTATATTGTTATGAAATATCATTTCTAAAGATAATTACGATGTCCTTTTGACACAAAGTAAACTTTGTATCCTTATTATCAAGTAAAATTTTTGGAGCTCATTATTCTGGGCTGGTGTGATATCATTACTTGATTTCACTGGAATTTTTTTGGAATAACATTACTTTTGTGGCATTTCAGCAAGTACACAGTACGGACATATTTTTAATTCCAATTACAGTGCACTGTTTTCAAGTCACCATCTTCTTGGGGTAATTCTCAAATTCAGATGAATGGTGAAGGAGTTGGCACAGCAAAGGAGACCCTATATGAACCCACAGCACACAACAGATCTCTTCAAGGCTACTCTCAAACTTGGCCATATAACTTACTAATCGTACAGCAGTGTACAACCACTCCACTCGAATGTAGCTAACCGTGAGAACAAGTCTGAGGGTAGTCCCACAGTGATATCTTTAATTCAGGCTTGTTTACTGTAGGTTCATCTGAGGTTCCCTTTGTTTATGCCAGTTCCTCTGGCCTGTCATTACTGAGAACTAGTATAAGAAAAAGGGAAACTAAAAACAGAGCACTCGACATGGGGCCTAAAAAGCCCAAGAAAAAGACCCCAAATGCCACTAAAACACATGCATACATCCACAGCACCCTTCCAAAGTGCTCTACGGCTCTTCTAGCACAGCTTTCTACATTCATACGTTCAATTCCCACATTCTGTCCTTCACCCAAGTCTTACACACGCATCCGTTCCTAAAGCCTTTAAAATTATGCTATCAACTACTAGCCTCAACTACCTTCGGTTTCCTGACACAACTCCCAGTTCCCCCCAATTCCCACAGTTCTACCAGGCAGTACTGTTAATCAAGAAATCCCAAGTACCAGTCCTCTTTTCGGTCCCTCCGCTGCACTCTAGGGACAACCTTTTTTCCCTTCTAGAAAACAAAACAACTCGCTGTACTCCGTACTCCTCCTTTGCCACCATCCACGCCGCCACAGCTTCCCCTCCTTCACGCACCAGACCCGTACCGGTGCAGACCGCGGTTGAGCACCATCTATATCATTCCCCCATGATCACTTCCGGTCTCCCCTACTAAAGGAATCGTCTTTCCAAGTCTAAAATAACGCACGCCCCCTAGCTTTGTGTAGGATTTAGAGCATCTTTATACCAGTGAACTGGGCTCAACCCGTCTGCTTTACGTGTACGGTGATCTGGGGTTTGGAGGGTTTTGGTTTGTTTTTTGTTTGCTGAACCCTGAAACATTTGTCTGAGGGTTTTTTATTTGTTCGTTTGCTTGTTTAGCTGGGGAAAGACATAGGTAGACTAACTATGATTTACGAGGGGAGGATTATAACTTCCACAGCAGAGTTATAAACCTTTAAATAATCGCAGGGGTCTTTATTATCCCTTCCCAAACTAGTTTCTCGGTAATAGAACTGAAGTTGTTGAAGGATGTGCCCTGACTCTAGTGCTTCTGTTGCAGATTGATACCCAGATGAAGAGTTCCTGTGAGATATCCTTTAATTATGTGGAAGAGAGTGATCTGGTAAGGACTGCTGGATGAACATCTCTTACAAACTAGTTTCTCATTTTACATGCCAGAAGGGGTAGTTGTGTTAGCCTACTGTGGCAAAAAAATTTTTAAAGTATGCTACAGTAAAAGAGTTGGACTCGACTGAAGAACAACAACACAGTAAATATATGCATCTGATGAAGTGAGCTCAAGTCCAGGAGAACATATGCTGTTGTCTTTAAGGAACTACAAGACTCCTGTTTATTTTTACTGTAACAGAATAACATGACTGCTTGCCCTCTGCACCAATACACACAGACTACACTCAGGCCCCATCCCCCACAATGTGGGGAAACTGCCACTGGACTATGTTGCTGGATTGTTGTAAAGTTCCTTCAGTAGGCAGTGCCTACTGAACTACCTCAGGGAGCTGTCCTAAATGGAAAAAAGTGAAAGCAGGTTCTATACAGATCCTCATGGATCCTCAAGTTTTTTTCCACAGAATTCCTCCAAATCCAGTATCAAAAAACATGTCAAAGCCAGGACCACAGGCAACCTTAAAAAAACACAAATCCAATACTTTATTAGAGACAGCTGAGATGGATAAATTAAGTTTAATTCTTCAAGGACAGAAGGAAAGAGTTTCTTGGAAAGATGGGAACGTCTGTATAAGTGGATTAATGTAGATGTATAACGAACGACTCCATAAGTGAACAAACGTTGTCACATAAATGGATGTTTTTGGTTTTATGAAAATGTAAAATAAACTACTAAAAAAAACAATATTCTTCCTTTGGGTTTGGATATAAATTCAGGAAGCTTCAGGCAAAATGTTATTTATTTCAGCATGAAGGAAGGAGCTCTATAAAGCTGGTACAAGCTGTAACACTTTTAACTGGAGACACTGATTATTACCTTCCTGTCTGCTTCTCAACGTAGGAAAGCTAAAGTCTTCTCTAATGTATAGAGCAGACAGGTGTTACCTGTCCTCCTGCCAGTAGCCACTTCAGGCTACAGCGACCACAAGAGGGAACCCTTGATCTTGTCATTCCACTCTGATAAAAACAAAAGATGTCCCTGCTAGCTTTCACCTGGTGAGTCATTAGATGTATCTTATGCAGGACTTCATTCTTGCCGCAAACTTTCCACACATGCTGTCATATTCCATTGCTTCTTGGAACCATTTACCCCTGAATTTCTCTCTGAACAATAAGTGCACATGTGGAATTATAGTTCCATAGCAATATATCTTTCTTGAACAGAGCAGAGGGCACAAGACGTTAAATGAGTAGGGCTGCCAACCTCCAGGTGGAACCTGGACATCTCCAGACTACAGAGATCAGTTCCCTCGGAGAAAATGGTTGCTTTAGAGGGTAGACTCCATGGCATTGTATAGACTTGCCAGTCCCCAGGTCCAGGCGGGGGATCCCCCAATTTCAGGAGCTTCTCCCCACTGTGGCTGGCCGGCAGGGGAAACCCCGTCTTTAAACAGGGATGTTGCTGTGCATTTTGAAAGTTTTTTTCCTCTTAACAGAGGACAGGCAGGAGGAGGAAGGGAAGTCAGTTCAATTGCTTCAAGGTAATGGTAACTCTGTAGAGATCTAGAACTAGCTAAAGAGCCTGTCCTATATTTTAACATCTGATAGGGCATATATAGAGAGAGGGACAGAGGATTTGCATTTTACCCTTTTCTTTTGTATCCCTTGATCAGTCTGGTGCTGTGCTAAAAGTATGCTTGTGAACATTTTCTTTTTAATTAATACTTTATAAATTTTGATGCTGGTAGTGGTTCTCTGTACCACATAGATATCCACCATCTCAGACACATTATTTTAAAAGAGGAACCAGGGGGAAGGCAGGCAGTTGGCAAGTGGCTATTCCTCCAAGGGTGCACAAGGCAGGAACGTGTTCCCGTCGTGACAAAACACTGGGCAGCGGGAGACACAGAGGCAAGACCTCAGAACTTGGAAGGGAAGATGGGAGTCCAGACCCTCCCAGCAGGCAATTCCATACTAAGGTCAGCTGGTGGTGGCGGGCTACCAGAGAGTGGAAGGATAGCCTCTCCAGGTGTTGAGAAAAACCTAGGAGGCCAGGGCATAATAGGGCCAGCAGGCCAGAGCAAGCACATTCTACCACAGTAGCCATCAATGTACCATTCTATGTATGGTGCTGGTATTTATTTATCAAATTTATACCCCTCTCCCTCTCCCCCGAATAGGGTTGCCTGCCTCAGGTGGGAGTGAGGGATCCCCTGATTTTGTGGACTTCTGCCTACTGCTGGTCAGCTGGCCAGCAGGGGAAGCCCTGCCCTCAACAGCCATGACCCAGCATGACATCCCCAACATGATGACATCACATGGAAGTGATGTCATCACGCTGGGGACATCACACAGCTAGGCTCTGGTATTTTGGGCAAAACTCTATGAGTTTTGCCCAAAATACCAGAGCATGATGATGTCACTTCCACGTGACGTCATCACATCAGGGATATCATCCTGTCCCCCACTCGCAGGAAACTCCCTCCCATCCCCCACTGGCAAGAGCATGGGACCAGGCAATCCTACCCCCAAATGGGACTCGGGAAGGCTAATAGCATTTAGAATACACCAATTAAAACAATACAGAGGTATAATAAATAATCTTTAAAATATAAAATAGTTAAAAATCTTTCCCCATTAAAATCTATCAAGCTGGGTAGGATCCGTAGATGGTGAAGAGACAGCTGCAGTATACCAGCTGCCTGGTGGATCACAAACACCCAAAGGCCACCTAAAAAAGAGCAGCCTTGCACGCCCTGCGGAGGTCCCACAAGGCATGCACCTCTTCAGGCAGCTGGTTCCACAGAACAGGGGCTACTTCTGAGAAGGCCCTCACACTTGTTCATAGACCAGGCAGTTTGTGGACCAGGGACCTTCAATAAATTCTGAGATGAAGATTGGAGAAGATGATGAGGATCATGCCAGGAGAGGCGGTCCTTGAGGTATAAGGGTCCCAGGCTGTTTAGGGCTTTCACAATAATATAATATATCTATATATCTAATAACCAAGTTGCCCCCCCCCGTGCGGATATCTAAACCCACACATTGGGGGCACTTGGGGGGCAGAGAGATTTTCCTGCACACTTGGGGCAGTCCTCATGTGTGCAGAAAAATCTAAAAACTTTTTTAAAAGGATAGGTGACTGTTCTGGGCACGTGACTGCCCTTAGCAACGGCTTTCCTAGTGACGAGGCCTTCACAGGCTTTTCCACTTTTGGGAAGTCGGGAGCAAAGAGGGACGGAAAGCGGCGGGTGGCTTTATGGCTGAGCCTGCACTGGCTCAGCTTCCCAGGCACTGCCACCGCTGCCGGGCTCAAAGTTAGAGGAAAAGGAGGGGAGAAAGAAGGGGGAGATTTGCTTGGAGGGAAAAGGAAAGATGGGGGTATTTGCTTGGGGGGAGAAAGAAGGGGGATGGCTTGTTGGGAGGGAGGGAGGGAGAGAAAGGTATTGACTTGGTGGAGGGTTGTAAAGAAAAGGAGGGATTGGCTTGGGGAGAGAAAGAAAGGGGGAGGGGGAGAGGGAAGGAAGCAAAGGTGGTGGGGGAATGCCTCCTCCCTGCAAGTTTCTTGCGGGTTCACCCTTGTTCTATTATATTATAATATAATACAGTGGATTTTAAAAAATGAATTTTAGTGCTGGTCTGGTTCAAATCTCAGTTCAACCATAAACCCACAAGGAGGGAAACTGTTCTACACAAGCCAGTGTGGTGTAGTGGCTTAAGTGTGGTGGGCTGTAATCTGGAGAATTGGGTTTGATTCCCCATTCCTCCACATGAAACCTACTGGGTGACTTTGGGCAAGTAACAGTTCTCTCAGAACTTTCTTAGCCCCATTTGCCTCACAAGGTGCCTGTTGCAGGGAGAGGAAGGAAAGGCGATTGTAAGCCACTTTGAGACTCCTTAGGGTAGAGAAAGGTGGGGTATAAAACCAACACTTCTTCTTTCAGTCTTTGGAGAACAGTCCTCCATCAATTTAAGGGGATAAATAATTCTGACCTACCCTATAGTACTGTTGTAAGGATTGTGTGGATAATACATGCAGAGGGCTTTTTTGAACCCTGATGAAAAGTACTGGGTTAGCCGCATGGTGGACTCGGACAACAACATGCGTTTACACACATTTATTGTACTTCACACTGGAACTGAAAAACGGCCCTGCAAGGCCAACTATATACACACCCACCCAGCAGACCCACACTCCCGTTGGAGGGTTTGAATTTCCCACCAAAGTAGCTATTCGTGAATGCTGGGGGAACTAGGATCCTAGGTTCCTATTGTTTAGAGGAGCTAAGCTCCTGACTGTAGCTGCGGACCCCTGGTGGCGGTCCGCATACATAACACCTGAAATCTCTGTTCAAATTTCTTGTCCAAATATTTACCTTTGTTTAATCCTTAATGAGACTTACAAAACTGATTCTAAGCAGAGTTAGACATTTAGGAGTTCAGTAGGTTTAGGAACGCCTAACACTTGTCTGCCTGTATTAGTAAA